CAACTCACAATAAAAGCTTTAAAAAAAAAAAAGCAAAGCTTGTACTGTTCCTACAAAGTTGCTATAAAAATTTATTACAGTTATGATGTGATAAGAGTCCCCAGGAAATGCACACAGGGACATACAGTAATCACGTATAATTCATAAAATCTGAACATTTATCTCAAGTGATTTTGCACATTTGAATAAAACACCTGAGGCCAGGAAACTATAAAACAGACTGCTTCTCAGAGCTTGATAAGGCAATGTGTTTGGGAGATCCTGTAAAATTCAGTTCATGGGAATCAATTATGTGTGGGTGTCAGAGCCTAGAAGCAGCCATGCCAGGGGCTGGGTTCTGTACCTGGAAGGTCTTTCTTTACTTTCTCTCTCCAGCAATCACATACCCGCTGCATCTCTACCTCTTCCCCAAGCAGAGGCATATCTGAGGTCTGGCAGGTGCAGCGCATGCCCTGGGAGCAACTTGAAGGGGAGTGCCACTGAGCAGTTTCTATAAACCATCACAGTTTCCATCAACAACTGCGAGAGTTTCCATCATTCAGCAACTTAAAGCGAATACTTTAAGCTGTTGAGAGCCATTATGGGTCAAGAAGGAGTCCTGGTGTGGTGCTGTAGGATAAGCACTGGACTGCTAATCATGAGTTCAGTGATTCAAACCCACCAGCTGTTCCTCGGAAACTCTATACAGGGTCGCTATGAATCAGAATCAGCTCGATAGAAGTGGGGTATGGGGGAAGGCAGACTGCAAGATCTTGCTAAGTAGAGAAAGAGAAGAAACTGAAGCAACTCCTTTGAGACCATCAGAGATCAGTTTTCACCCATGAAAGGAAGAACGAGTACAGTGTGTGTCAAGAGTGGAACCAGGCTCCATAAGGTTTTCAATGGTGGATTTTTCAGAAATAGGTCGCCAGGCCATTCTTCCAACGTGTCCCTGGTAGATTCAAACCACAGCCTTTAGGTTAGTAGCAGAGCACCTAACCATTTGCACCACTCACCACCCAGGGACTCTTTGAGGTAGCGTTTATGTTTTTAAAGATTTCATCTTCTATGACCCATGGTGAGACTGAAACCAGACAAATTTGCAAAGATAAAACCTTGCCAATCTTCACCCTTCCCTGGTCCTCTTCTACGCCTCGATGCCCCTCCTTCACACCCTTCATAGTGATATTCTCACCTCACAGTTCTCTCCAGTTCTGCTCTCAAAACTCATCTATGTTGTGAATTTCCTTTACTGACTGACTACCTTCTATGTGCCCAGGAGACATGAAAGATTTCTAAGACGAGGGGACACAGTGCCAAAAGACTTGGATTGAGTGTCAGAAAACCTGCTTCTTATCCTCGATCTGGTATTGCTAAGCCTCACCAAGACCCCTTCCTCTCTGCAGACCTCAGTTTCTCCATCAGTAAAATGAGAGCATAGACAAGATAGTCTATTGCATTCTACCATCTGAAAATTTCATCCCATCCAAGTGTAGCGCAGAATTGTGAGAACACAGAGTTTGGGTTCTGATTCTGATTCCCCATATACTTGCTGTGTGACCTGGGGTGAGTTTCCTACCTTCTCTGAGACTCTGTTGTTTTCCATCTGTGAAGTGGAACTTTATGAGAATTGGAAATGATAAAGGTAAAACTCCTAGTGAAGGTGCTGACACTAAATAAAGGGGGGCTATCATCCTTCCTGGGGTGGCGCTGTAGCATCAGAACTGGGCTGTGAACCACTAGGTCGGTCGTTCAAACCCACCAGCTGCTCCTTGGAAACTCTGTGCAGACAGGGTCATTATGACCTGTCAGAACTGACGTGACAGCACTTAACTGCAACAACAATCATCCTTCTTGGAGTCCTGGTGTACTGGGCTGTTAACCTCAAGGTCAGCAGTTCAAATCCACCAGCTGCTCCTCAGAAACCCTATAAATGGTCCGTATGAGTCAGAACAGACTCAACGGCACTTAGCAACAACAATCATCCTTTTTGGAGTCTTGGCATAGTGTTGTAGGATAAGCACTGGACTACTAACTGCAAGGTCAGTGGTCAAACCCACCAAGTCACTTCTTGGAAACCCTGTATAGGGTCATTATGAGTCTGAAGCAGCTCTGTGGCACACAATGACAACATCCTTTTGGCAGTCCCTGGATGATACAAATGGTTCATGCACTCAGCTGCTAACTGAAATGTTGGAGGTTTCAGTCCACCCAAAGGCCTCTGAAGAAAGGTCTGATGTTCTATTTCCAAAATCTCAGCCACTGAAAACTCTATGGAGCTCTAATGTGACATGCATGGGGTCACTACCACGCAGGGTTGACTCTGTGGCAGCTGGTTTACTGGATTGACCCTTATGCTTTATTCAAGGCCTCACTGGCCCTCGGAAGCAAGTGGACCAGGTATAACACTGAGCAGAAATGATACAGGGAGGGAACAATCGATATCATCTATGATTAAAAAACAAAATTCAGAAAAAGCTGACCTGGCATGTCAGGGGATGGTCTCCATCAGGGTAGAGCTAAAAGAGGCAGCCCCTTGACTTGTGGACTCCCAAGTTTAAAGTGGTTTAATCAGTAACCTAGAAAAGAGGTGACTTAGAAGGGAGGGAGCAAGGCTGGGCACTCGTTTCATTTATATGACTGCCCCTACTTCAGCTCTGAGGGCAAAGAGTGCCCGTTCCATGGCAACTGCAGTCAACAGACTTCCACTCATTTGAACTGTGGACTTGGAGAAGACTTACTTCCAAGCCAGGGGAGCCAGTGCCCTGCCCTTCTCACAGCTGAGCTAGGAAAGGATCCTTCCTCAGTCTCCCGTGACCACATGTCTAACCTCCCCACCCTCCCTTCTCCACATTTCCCAGGGCTTGCCACTCAAGTTTGTACACACGTCTCTAATGAAATTAGACTAGAAAGTCCAGGGATTTTATTTTGTAATAAAAACCTGAACTGAAGGAGAGGAGGGGAAGGTCATGACATTTGCAGAGAAAGCATAAAGGAAGTCAGGTAGGGGTAGTAGCAAAGACAGTCAAGACACTGGGTTTTGACCCCAATTCCAAAACCACATCTCATCTGTCCTGTGAAGAACAGCATGTTTTCACTGCAAGTGAATGCAAAACCATTCATTCACTTTAGCACCTCATGCTGGGATGTGCAAAACAGAATGAATTTACACTCCTGTCTCATACAATACACAACAACTAACTCAAAAGCTCAACTCCAAAACTGTTTTTGTTGTTATGTGTCATGGAGTCGGTTCCAACTCATAGTGACCCTGTTACAGGGTTTCCAAGGCTGTAAATCTTTACAAGAGCAGAAAGCCTCATCTTTCTCCCGCAGAACAGCTGGAAGTTTTGAACTGCTGACCTTGCAGTTTGCAGCCTGATTCATAACCACTACGCTACAAAACTAAAACACTATAAACTTATTAAACTAAACTTTAAGAGCTGAAATGATAAAACTCCTCATAACTTTGGATTTGGCAATGAATTCTTTCCCCCTACTCCCAATGGTTTGGGATATCTGTTGTATTTTTTGTTGTTGCTTTATTTATACCATCAAGAAGAATTAGCTTGGACACATTTGAGGAAGAACTGTGAAGTAAAGATACAAGATTTGCTCCAGCAGGTCAGCTAAGAGTTCTGCCCAAGGATGATCAATGGATCCCCAGCAATCCCTGAGAAATCTCAGCTCTACAAATTGGAGCCTGCAGCTGCAGTCTGGTAGAAGGAGCAGTTTCAATGGTAAGAGTAATGGTCAGTATCAGTTCATCCTACTGTGGTGGCTTACATGCTGCAGTGATGCTAAGGTCTACACCACAAGTATTTCAGATGCGAGGAGGGTCGCCCACGGTGGAGAGATTTCAGTAGGACATCCAGAGAAAGAGGGCTTGGTGATCTACTTCCAAAACTTAGCCAGTGAAAACCCTATGGACCACAACAGACTGGGAGGCACACAAAATACACGAGGGTCACCACGATAGATTCAAAGACAGCAACAATCACAAAGCTGTTGCAAAACTGGACAGAGTTTCATCCTGCTGTACCTGGCGTTGCCATGAGTTGAAGTTGACTCAATGGCAAACTAACAATAATAGTTGTTGGGTTTGGAGAGAACAAAAATCCCCAAGAAGATTAACGACTAAAGACCCAGAGAGATGATTCTAAGAACATACATGGAGTCTGGGTTCTACTTGGGATTCAGGATCCTGAGCAAGGATCTCATCCCTGGGAATTCCATTTCTCTGTCCATAAAAGAAGATCGTGGGGCTCCACCAGACAACCTCTGAGGTCCTTTCAAGAGTTGGCACTGACTATCTATGTTTAGGAGTCCTGGTGTAGTGCTGTGGGTTAATGCACTAGACTGCAAAGTCAGTTTGAATTGCAAGGGCAACTGTTCAAGCTCACCAGCCACTCCTTGGAAACCCTATAAGGGGTCACTATGGGTTAGAAACAACTCAATGGCACTTAAAAACAACAACAATCTATGTTTAAGTACTTCAGAATGACACATGGAGTCAGATTCTGACCCTAAAAGACACAAAGATTTATGGGTACCTCTAAAGTCTGTGTCAACCCTTGTTGTTGCTGTTGTGTGCCATGGAGTTGGTTCTGACTCATAGCGACCCTGGACAGGGTTTCCGAGGCTGTAAATCTTTACAGGAGCAGAAAGCCTCATCTTTCTCCTGCGGAACTGCTGGTAGTTTCAAACTGCTGATCTTGCGGTTCACAGCCCGATTCGTAACCACTATGCTACCAGAGCTCCTTGTGTCAACCCTTAGACATTCCTAACTCCCTTTTAATCTTCTACTGATCCTTCCTGAACCCATCTGTTTTCAACTGCACTATGTTAAGGATAAGGAGTTCCATGCGTTGGCTCTTTAATATGTGAAATAGGACTTTACCCCAGAGCAAGAAAGTCTAAGGTACCAAGTTAATAAAAATATGTAGAACTGCCTCTTGGTGGATCAGCATATGCTGGGGAGTGAGATGGCCAGAACTAAGTTCCCAGGGCAGCAGACTCACCGAGATCTTAGTGAAAATGTAGAGCAGCAGGGACAGGATAGAGAGGTAGACCTGGATTCGCTTGCCTCCAAACCGCTTCCTCAGGTACTCTGGCATCGTCACCACCTGCATAGGATACAAGGGAGTTCACTTCCAGCCAGAGAGACTGGAGGGCCCACAGAAAGCAGAGCCATGAGATCCACCCTGTCAGTAACCCCAGAGGTGTGACCAAGGATTCAGAAACTTGTTGGCCAGAGAAGTCTGCAAGTAGCCAGATAGCCCTGGTCTTCTAGCCTTTTGCCCATCTCAGTCCCACATGCCTTAACACTACAAAAGTAGCCGGTGTCATCCCAGTCCATAGAAGGTGTCCAATATATACCTGTTTTTGATAAACACATGACCAAGCATAATCAAGAGCAGGAAACGATATTTGAGGGGGCTTCAAAAAGTTCTTGGAAAAAATGGAATTAAAAGATCATGGAATTTTCCCACTAACCTTTTGAAGTCCCCTCAAATGTGTCTAAGAAGTTCTGATAGTGTTGTTGTTGTTGTTGTTGTTGTTAAGTGCCATCAACTCAGTTCCGACCCATAGCGACCCTGTAGAGGGTTTCCAAGGAGTGGCTTGTGAGTTTGAACTGCTGACCTTGTGGTTGAAAGCAACCTTGTAGTCCAGCGCATTAACCCACAGTACCACACCAGTGTAGTGGATTACTAATCAGGCTTCTAGCCTCAAGATAAGCAGTTAAAAACTACTAACCACTTCATGGAAGAAAGATGATGCTTTCTGCTCCTGCAAAGATTTACAGCCTTGGAAACCCTATACAGGGTCACTATGAGTGGGAACTGACTCCACAGCACATAACAACCATTTGTGTGTGTATATGTGTGTGTTACAGACATCATAATAGTGTAGGCATCTTCCCAGTGTACCAAACAAGGTACCAAGCCAGATATGCACTTCCTGTCTGCAGACAGGCTTTGCCAAGGACTGAAGAGACAAATCTGCCCAACTGTCCTCCCAGTCTTTTCTTCAGATTCAAACTATTCTTCCTGTCATTCTCCCTTAACCCTGTACCCATTGTTTCCTAGATCCAACATGTGTCCCTAGCAGTCTTTGAGCCTCTCGAAGATACAGAGTCAGCCCTGTGCTTCTTCTATGTTGCTTTTAGTACCTAATGCCTAGGCTTACACATCTCATGGAAGAGATGATGCTAAAGTTGTCTATGTACAATGCAGTACCGGCTGTGTACTCAGCAAACAAGGGCTACTGGTATGTATAAATGAAGAGGCAAAGACAGGCATTTATGTAGGAAAGACAGTGCAAGTGTGTGACAGTACCATGCAAGTACACACTGAGGGTGAGGGCTCAGGATACTTCAGAGTATACTCTGAAGAGAGGGGGCTTACTTAGGGGATTCCTAGAGGAACGCGTTATGAGCCTGGAATGAAAGGAACGTTCAGACCCAGGCTGAGAGCCTCTGTTTAATGCACCCAAGAGCTGGCAGGAACTTTATCCCTTGGGAGCAAGTCAGGCCACAGGCTCTCTGTCAATTATTCCACAGCCTTCATTGCCTTCTAGCAGGAACAAACTCATATATCATAATGGCCAACAGGAAATGGACTAGCTAGTACATACTTACCCCAGCCTTAATGTAAATGGGGACAAACACCCAGCCCAGCACAACTACCAAAATCAATGCCTGAAACCAAAAAAGAGGTGAAGTCAAACCAGGAAGAAACTTAAACCATCCCTACTGCATTGAGGGCCCAGCCCTACTTCACCCAGCACATACTCCTTCAGTTGCTCAGAACAATCATCCAGCATTTCCTCTTTGGGGCTCTAAGAACAATTCTCTCCAGAAACTGGAAAAGGACTTAGCTCTTTGAATAACCCATGGGAACCATTGGGCAACAGTGGAGGGGTGTCAGACCCTAGAAAGAACACTGAGTTTTGTGCCTCTTTTCTGTTAAATCTCATATAGAGATGTTTTAGTAATAATAATAGAAATGGTGATGTTGTTGTTGTGTGCAATCAAGTCGATTTTCTGGCACCCCAGGGTTGCCCTAGATCAGTTGTTTTCTCATGCTCCTCTAGTAGAAAGAGAACAGGACTCTGGGGTTCCTGAAACTGTGTGAGGTTGGTGCCAGACCAGGCAATGTTTCATTCTGTTGTGCCTTAGGGTCACTATGCATCGGTGCGGACTCAATGGCATCTGAGAACAACAGTGCCCTGAACCATCTGCATCCTGATGTGGCCCCCGAGGGTTCCCTAGTCCCTAAAGCTCCTGAGAGCACAGGCTGAGCTGGGTGAATGCTAAGACTTCTTTAGGCTCCAAGACACATTGGCTCTGATGCTACTCACATTCCATTCAAAGCCTCCAATGGCAATGCCTGCAGCCGCTCCTGTCCCTGCCAGTCCCACAAAGTGACCACTTCCGATGTTACTAGCGAAGAGAGAGGCTCCGATCTGAAAACACAAAGATGAAGTCAGGTGAGAACTCTGTGCTTGACCAGGACGCACAAGGTGAGACAGAGAGAGAAGAGACAAGGCAGCCACAAAAAGGACAAGGAAAGGGAGAACTGGCCAGGAACTTGACCCTGCTGGAGTCTGTCAGGGCCACTGGTTCAGAGGGCAAAGGTGGAACCTGCAAAAGGCAGTGGGATTACCCATGAATCCAATCATCTGTGCACCTACTGTGTGCCCAGCACAATTGCCAAGTATTGAAAAAGTATAAGTAAGACACAGGAAGCCCACTGATACTCCTCTGGAAGTTCTCCAAGAGGTTGTAGGCAGGGCCATGCCTTCCATCTTCATATCCTCCAGTGGACCTGGCTGAGGCCTTGCCCAACACAGGTTCTCAGCAAATGTGTATTGTTTTGATGGGAGGAATCATTAAAAAGGAAGCCTCTGAGCTTCTGTTAAGAAAGATTGGAAATTTTGGATATGGATACTGGTAATGGTTGAACAATATGGTTAACATAACTAAAGCCATGAATTGTACATATGAAGAATGTTGAGAAGGGAAATGATCGGTTACATCTATCATACTAAAAACAATAAAAGAAAGAAAATCTTTTTTTTTTTTTTTGCTGTAAAAGGAAGCTTTATTGTTTTCATTTGCTCCACGGCTTAGGAGAACAGAGGCTCCAGGGTGTTGACTCTGCTGCCTCTGGGGCTGGAAAGCAAGTTTCAGGCAAAAGGTACTCGGAGAGCAGGGGAAGGCTGAAAGGCCCTTCACAGGCTCCATAGGCTCTTCTTAGTCGTGCTTGAGAGTGAGCCTCTGACTGGGGACCCGCCATCATATGGAGGTTGGTCAAGTGGTCACCCATCTTCTTGATAATTTTCACCTCCTCATCAAGGAAATGTTGTTGTTGTTGTTATGTGCCGTGGAGTCAGTTCTGACTCATAGCAACCCTGTACAGGGTTTCTGAGGCTGTAAATCTTTACGGGAGCATAAAGCCTCCTCTTTCTTTTGCGGAACAGCTGGTAGTTTCGAACTGCTGACCTTGCAGCCCACAGCTCGATTTATAACCACTATGCTACCAGAGCTCCTTCGTCAAGGAAATGGTTCTCCAGAAAGTCACAGAGGTGGGGGTCTGTGTAGGTAGCACCCACAGCATGCAGACCCAGAAGAGACTGGTTCAGATTCTTCTCCAGGGCCAGGGTGGCTTCCATGGTGTCCAGGGTTCTTCCCGACTCATCTTGGGAGGGCTTCTGCATGTCCTGGAAGAGTGCACAACCACCACACTGGTTCTGCAGTTTCAAGAGATGCTCAGCACCCTCACACTTCTCCTTTGCCAACTCACGGAAGAAGTGTCCCACACCTTCCAAAGCCACATCATCGCGATAGAAATAGAAGCCCAAAGAGAGGTAGGTGTAAGAGGCCCACAGATGCAGATTAAGCAGACGGTTGACGCCGGCCTACATTCTGACGGATCTAAGAGCTCATGATTGGTCTAAAATTTGGAGCTAACTACACACACACACACATACACAGAAAAAAAAATGGTGTTTAGCTTGTCCCGGTAACGGAATGATCAAGAAGATGGTCCCGGAGAAGAGATTACACCTAAAGAAGTTGTTAGAGGTGGTCCGAGGCTGGAAGTAGGGGAGTCCCCGGATCTGTTCCATCCAAACACTGTTGAAGCAAGACACAGATCTCCGGGACCGCAGCGCAAACTTGAAAATCAATTTTTTAAAATGGAAGCCTCTGGATCTCAGTCCTTCCTTGCCAAACAAAGGACAGGCAGGGGCAGAGCAGATGACTCCCAGTGACTCCTGGGATTAGTAACAAGAGATTATATTATAACAATAATTCTCTATACCTATATAAAGGTTTTGTATTTTACAAAGGTCCTAGAAGCCTATCCCACAAACATACAGAAAACATTGTATTTCATAAGGCACACATGTCTAAATGTATAGATTAGAGGACAGGTGGTAGGACATATATTAAATACCCAAGAGTAGAGACATGGAAAGCCAATGAAGAATGGGAGGAAAGGAGAAAGTACAAGAGCATGATCTTGCACTGACCAGTGATGGGATCATGCAATCAACTCAATTGCATCTGAGTTTCAAAAGGACTCCAGTAAGTTCTAGAATCCTTTCAGACCCAAGAATATAGAACAAAGGTAATTTAAAAAAACAAAAACCTCACTGTTATCAAGTTGATTCTAACTCATACCGATCTTATATAAAGTTTCCAGGACTGCAAATCTTGATAGGAGTAGATAGCCTCATCTGCCTCCCACAGAACAGCTGGTGGATTTGAACCACTGATCTTTTTGGTCAGCAACCAAGTGCTTTAATCATTGCACACCAGAGCTCCCAGCCACTATAACTTCTGCTTAGCCCCCCAATACACGATCCACAGTGCCACCAAGAGAAGGTATATTGTTGTCAAGTGCCGTCCAGTCGGTTCCAACTCATAGCAACCTTGTATAGGGCTTCTGAGGAGTGGCTGGTGAATTTGAACCACTGACCCTGCAGCTCAAACAACCTTGCAGTCCAGTGCATTATCCCACAGTGCTACAACAGGAGAAGGTATAGACGAAGGACTCCAGGAGAAGGTATAGAAGCATTTAATAAGACTGGAGTAGGAGAAGACATGTGCAGAGCTGGGGTATGTTTTAGGAATAAAGTCAAAAAGCCTTGTTGATAGATTGCTCTTGTTGGCTCCATCAAGTTGACCCTTGATTCATGGACATCCATGCACAATGGAATGAAATAATGTCCAGTCCCATGATTGATTGGGAATTGAGCCATTGTGACCCACAGGATTTTTACTGTCTGGTTTTCAGAAGTCCATCACCAGGTCTTTCTTCCTAGTCCATCTTAGTCTATCAGCTACATGGAAACCTGTGCAGCTTCATTGTTGTTGTTAAGTGCTGTAGAGTTGGTCCCAATTCATAGTAACCCTGTATAGGGTTTCTGGGGAGCAGCTGGTGAATTTGAACCACCAACCTTGCAGTTCAGTGCATTATCCCACAATGCCACACCAGGCCTCCTTTAATGGGGATAACAGTCACTTTTTTAAAAAATTTCATTATGGTTGAATATATATAGCCAAGAAAATGCCATTACAACCATTAACAGCTTACTTTTCTTTCTGCATGTGGCCTACATGTCCTGACCCATCTTTTCATCCATCACCTCTAATTTGATAAACTATTAAGCTTAATGTTGTATTATTAATGTTATAATTAGCAGCAATGATTAACAGCATTAGATTAATCTTAAATTCAAGACATCCTCTCCTTCTACCCCTCACTGGACACTGGACTTTAAGCAGGCCTAGATTCAACATCTGAGTAGGGAATGGAATGAGGACCAGGAGTGCTTTGGTGATACCAGAATTTCCTGGTCCAAGGTTCCATTCCTATGTATATGGGGCATCTTGAACTCCCTCCATCTACCCCATGGCCTGCACAAAATTGTTTGCCAAGATCTTGACTCGGCCTCCGCACTGCCATATGTATCTAGTGCTTTCTATATCATCCTAATCATTATCTCTGCCAGTCTATTTCAATAGACTTCTAACTGATCTCTTACCTTTTCCTCCTATAAGCCACCCTACACCCAAATGACCAGTGAACTCCAGAAGTACAACTCAAATTATGTTCCTTCTCTCCTGAGAGGTTCTCCCTGAACCCCAAGTGGGGACTGTCAAGGGAACCTCCTGACAGGCTTAAAGAAATAGTCCTCAGCAATCAGAAATATATCAAGATTACTTTCCCCTTGTGCAACATGGGTTTAGGACTAGAATTTTGAATCCTTATGTGGTCTCTTACTACTTTCTGGGTTGTTATACTATCTTTGAGCCTCCATCTTCTTTCATGAAAGGGTTAAGATTACTAATCAATAACGATTGACACTCAACTGATCTTCAGTCAGTATCCTTTCTCTCCTCTCTCTTCCCAAGAGATAATATGTCACCCTCAAGAGAGTTCAAGGGAGCTACAATAGCCACCTTTGCCTTTATCACCCACACACCCCTACCAGGTTTTACCACTGATCCTGTCCTCACAAGAGCTCATTAACAATATTTTCATCAACCTGGCTTTCCAAATACTCTCTGTTCACTCCTCACTCATGTTCTTGCCCATTTGGGAATTATGCCCCATGCAGGGAATGACCCAATAACATAAATCACCTTGCCCTCTCTAATTTCCTACTACATTCCTCTGTATGCAGGATTTTAGTCTTCATCCAGATTTCCCTAGATTGACCCCACTTAGACGAATTTCTTTCCAAGTCTTCCTCATCCCCTAATAGGGCTCAAGGTGCCATTACAAGTACTTAAAATATTTTTACTGACACCTTTGCTCTTCAATACTTTATATATATATATATATATAATACAATTGTTGTTAAGTACCATCGAGTCAGTTCCAACTCATACTGACCCTGTATAGGGTTTCCAAAGAGCAGCTGGTGTGTTTGAACTGTCAACCTTGTGGTTAGCAGTCCAGTGCTTATCCTACAGCACCACAGGACTCCATGTCTACGTTGATAGAAACATAATCAAATTAAACAGTGGTTATATTTGGAAGAGAAAATAATGAGTGTTTCTTTATATGCTTTTCCAAGTTTTCCACAATGAGTTTGTCCCATTTTATAACCAGAACACAATTTTCTAAAGCCTTTAACACTAACAATTCTGGAGTTGTCCCAGATTTGCTTGCAGAGGTTGAGAGATGAGAGAGTGCATGCAGGGAACTGATGTCTTAGTTTTGGGGTGGACGTAGGAAAAGGCATGTCAAAAGCTAGTTTCTTAGCCATGCTCATCTGATATTGTTGTTATTGTTAAGTGCCAGGGAGTCTGCTCCAACTCATAGCGACCCTACATAGGGTTTCTGAGGAGCAGCTGGTGGCTTTGAAATGCTGACCTTGTAGTTAGTAGTCTAATGCTTATACTAAAGCGTCACACCACAACTCCGAATATATTTTATTCATGGAAAGAG